CTGTTGGCAATCTATATATCTTAACTTTACTCTGTATCTTTCTTTTTTGTGTTCATTTGCATATGAATGGTATGTGGGTCTGATATTTACATCAACAGAATTGATTTGTCATTCCTCTGCCTCTCTTGGAATAAACTAGTCATCAAGAGCAGTTAAAAACTTAACCACAGGTTGTTTTCCCAAAGTTTAGCTGTCAGTCAGTTCTCTGGAATTTTGAACCACGGAAGGTTCAGTGAATGATTATAGAACTAACTCACAAAAGTGCCAGAAGACTGTGATACGCCTAAGTAGTACTTTTTTCAACTCTGCTTACGAAGGATTTTAAGGTGTTTTTGTTTGTTTGTTTGTTTTCTCTGCCAGAAATTTGCTTTTTTACTGGAGGGAAAATCAGCTATATTTCTCCTGGTGCTACCACTTATAATCCTGTGACCCCAGGCCATCAACTTCTTTTTAGGGACTCTATTTTCTCATCAGGGGAATGTTGGTCCCCTGATGTAGTCCTAGGTAAAGTTCTTTAAGGTAGGCTCACCATTCTCTGATTTATCTCATTACCTCCTTAGCATCTAAGATCAAAGTGTCCCTGGCCTGTGGTGACGGATCAATGCCAAGCCACACATGTACAAGTGAAGGTGCCTCTCCAAGTAAGTCACATGCCAGTGTCCTAAATTGAGGCCAAAGGTCAGTTGGCAGCAACACTGTCTGTGGCTGGAGAGGATCCCCAGCACTGAACTCCCTCAACCTTTTTTACTGGGAGCGTAGTTCATGTGTTAAGTGTCTCAGATCTGCCTGCCTGTGCCTACTATTTAGTATTTTTAGTAATTTACTTTAAAAATCTGGTGTCCAGCACTCCCTTCCCCACCCCTACTCTTCGATGTACAAAATGTATCTGTAAGGATCATGCCAAGTCACCCAGCTGGTATTTCAGGATGGGTTAGCTTTGAGAGACACCGTTTTGCTACCAAATAATTATCTTTTCTTTCCGAATGTGAACAGAGGTAGTGAAGAGTTTCAGAGATGGTGCAAGTATCTCTTTTTGGATTCCTTTTCTTTGAGAACTGTCCATGGGTCCCACTTGATTCAGAGGCCAGGCAGATATCAGCAGTCCTAGCCTTCTCAACACAAGTGTTCAGGAAGGGCAAGTTCTGAGTGAGCTGTAAACTCGCTGCTTAAAAGATATCATTTGCCCTTCTTTGCTTTTTTTTTTTTTTTTCTTTTTTTTTTCCTTTGCCTCCATGCAGTACCACCTTATTCTGTGGAACACAAGAGGCAGCAACCCGAACATATTTCCATGCATACTAAGTCTTCCCTCTTCCAAAAGAGAAAAAAACCTAGGATGACACTCCACCCTCTCCCCCCAGATCCTCTCTGTTTGCTCATTCCTCTCTTTTATTAGTATTGAATGGGGATTAGACAAAACAGAAAAAAAGGCGGGAACAATGCAGATAAGAAAGGAATTGAAACAGTCTGTGCTTTCTGTGGTTGTGGAAGTAGACAGGATTCCCTGGCCAGTTGGTGGCGTTTCTAGCAAAATCACAGATCTTGGGATAATTTGGGGTAATACTCAAGGTTTGGGGATGGGCTAGGATTCTGGCCAGGGTAAGGCAGACCTAGGTACATTCACAATGCCTAGATTCTACTTTGTATCTGGACTGTTCCCAAACCAAAGATCTTTCCCCTCACACCCTGCTTGGCACGTGGTTGTTTTCGCTCCCTCTTGGGATTACTAAAGCACTGGGAACTCCTATAAGGTCATTTGAAACAAGAGTGATAGAATGAGTGAAACTGTGGAGTGGCTCTGATTTCCAGAACCCAGCAGGCTTATAAGGGGGTGGTGGTGGTGGGGGGAGGTCCATTTCCCAACTTCCAAGCAAAACCAGTTTGGGGTTGCAAAAACACAGCTCCTGTTGCTTTCCACTGACCTGTGGCTCAGAGTGGCAAGGGACATGTGACAATCAATGCCTGGCTCAGGCCGCTGTGCTGGGTGACCCCTAGAAAGAAGGAAAGGCAACTCTAGTATTCAAAACTGCCTCTTGGAGGAGGATTTCTCAGGCCCGTGCATCTCCTGGCTTTTTTCAGCTCTGGGGGTTGGTTGGTGACCTCCAGCCAGCACCATCTTCAAACCAGGAGTTGCCACACCTGGAGAGGCAGCCCCAAGGGGCTGGTGGAAAAAGCCAGAGTTCAAAACCTAGCTCTGCCTCTTACTGGATGTATGCCCTGAGGCGAGTTTTTCCATCTCTCTGAGCTGCAGTTTTCTCAGCTGTAAAATGGGAGTAATGATAGGCTGGAATTTACAGAGATGTTGCCAGAGTTATAGAAGATGGTATGAAGCACTTGGCACGCACTGATACTTAGTAATTAGTCACTGGCTCTTCTCTCTCCTAACTTCTGCAAGTATAATTTCCTTCATTTATATAGTGAAACTACACAATTATCTAGTCTCTAAGGAAAAAAGGAGGCAGATGGAGAGTGCTTTTATATGACACATTTTCTACAAGAGCCATACTGGTCACTATATCCATCCTGAAATACCAGCTGGCTTTGTAGGGTGGTAGGAACAGCAGGAATCGTGTAAGGCTTCCAGAGTTCTGCCAGGGCATTTATAAGGTACGGGGAAGCAAACTGACACGTTGTGTCCTGTGTCCTCACTGCATCATGGCAAATATGGGTACAATTTGGCAACTGGTTTAACCATAGAATTTTGGCAAACTGAGCCCCTTTAGGGATGATTCAGTGACTTAAGGCTTTTGAAAGATATGAACAGACCACCGTGCCCAGTTCAGCGAGGGGTTCCTACCACTTCCGGAGTTTCCCGCCTGAGTTTTCTCTCTGTAGTTACCTCCCATTCCTCCAAAACATCTGCCAGGCTAAGTTAGAACACAGGTCAGATAGTGCCCCTCAGGCATGTTTGGTTTGGCCATTGTGCTGCAGGCCCACTCAGTAGTTTAGAAAAGTCTAGTTACTGACATTTATAAATCAAGAATGTTCGTATAGAAATCCAGATTGCCAGCCTCGCTTGAAAACTTGGCTCTGTCCACACTGGGCTGGCATATTCCAGCATGCAGCCCGCGGCTGGAGCCAAGTGGCTGCCGCTCCCTTAGCCGGGCAAACGTTGCCCAGGCTGCCAAGCCCCCGTGCTGCCAGCTTCACTTGTTCAGGCCCCCTTCCTGAACCGTGTGGTTATTTTGGTTGCGATTCACTCCCCCTCTCAAACATATACTTTCCATGGTACCTCCCTGCTTTCTGAATCAAGTGTACCTTCTTCACCTGGTCCTGCACGGTGTCCAGCAATGATTCTCAAACTGGACACGTGCTAGAGACACCTGGGAGATTGTCGAATTCCTGGCGCCTCCCCCAGTCCCTTCTGATTCGGTAGCTCAGCGGTGGGACTCGGGAGCCTATTTTTAACAAGAAAGAGCCCCAGGTAATTCTACTGCAGATGATCTAGAGCATGCCCCAGCATCCCGTGCTAGGCTTTCTTTAGTTTCAGTTCCGGAATTCCTAGAGACGTCAGTTGGCCTTCCCTCTCCCCCACCAAATGGCAGCTCCTGCAAAAACCACGTGGGACTAGGGGAAAGAGGCGATTCCTAGTAAAAAGGTGCTCGGCAGACCACCGCACCCTTCCTTCTCATTCTCTCACGCCTGTTGCCGTTGCCCGGCTCATGCCATTGTCTCTGCACTCGTAACTCCAGGAAGGCAGGGGTTGCTTCTCACTCAGCTGCCTCTCCCCAGAACTGCCTGGCACTGGACTTCAGACACAGTGGGTGTGCCCATCATCTGTGTCTTTTAAGTTTTTAACTAGCTTTCAAGCAGTTATATTTGTACAGTTAAAAATGCAAATAATACCAAAGGATATACAATGAAGCTGAGTCTTTCTCCCAATCCTGACTTCGAGGCCGCTGTCCCTCTTAAAGGAACCAGTCTCTTGTGTCTCAACGAAGACATGGGCCTGTCTATGGAGACAAGGCCCACTTGTCACTTTTTATCCCCACAAACAGTCGTTTTCTGTACAAACGGTCCTCGACTCACAATGGTTTGACTTACAATTTTTTGACCACTTTGGTGCAAAAGCGATAGGCATTCAGCAGAAACACACTTTGAATTTTGATCTTTTCCCGGGCTGGTGATATGCGGTGCAATACTCTCTTGTGACGAGTCCCAGTCAGCCACACGATCAGGAGGATGAACAACCAACACCCTTACAACCATTCTGTACCCAGACAACTACCCTGTTTTTCATTTTCAGTACAGTATTCAATAAATTACATGAGATATTCAGCACTTCGTTATAAAATAGGCTCTTTGTTAGATGATCTTGCCCAAATGTAAGCTAACGTAAGTGTTCTGGGAATATTTGAGGTAGGCTAGGCTAAGCTGTGATGTTCAGTAGCTTAGTATATTAAATGCATTTCAACTTACGATATTTTCAGTTTACAACAGGTTTATCAGGGTGTTACCCAATCAAAAGTTGAGTAAGATATTGTACTTTGTTTTCATTTTATAGTAATATGTTGATCATTCCATATCAGTCATCCCCAAAATAGGTTTTATGAATATTTATTCATAAAAACCTTGGATTAGATAGGGGAATGTTACTATTATTATCTTAAAATTAAGACTATTGGAGAATGGATCGATTAAAAGACTTTTGCCCAAGGGGTAGGACTAGAAAGCAAGTCTTCCGACTTCCACCCCAGAGTGTTTTGCTCTAAGTTATATAGTTATTTGAAATCGCTGTTTATCTGTGTGGTGGAGGCCAGGAACAGTGTCCTTTCTTGTTCACCACTTATAATTTATAAAAAGATAAGGAGAGGGCTTCCCTGGTGGCGCAGTGGTTGAGAGTCCGCCTGCCAATGCAGGGGGCACGGGTTCATGCCCCGGTCCGGGAAGATCCCACATGCTGCAGAGCGGCTGGGCCCGTGAGCCATGGCCGCTGAGCCTGCGCTTCCAGAGCCTGTGCTCCGCAACAGGAGAGGCCACAACAGTGAGAGGCCCGCGTACCGCAAAAAAAAAAAAAGATAAGGAGAAATTCTGCCCAGAGCTGGGGTAGAGGGTCTTCTCCAAACATATCTGGGGAGTTTGGGCCTTTATGCCACCACAGTGTACCTTAAAGATTGCCTGATGTGAACTCACTCTTGCTACCAACTCAAAAGTGAGTTGGGAAGACTTCCAACTAACAGGTTTATCTAAAACGCTGCAGACACAGTTACAACAGAAAACAGCTGCTTTCAAGTCCGCTCTTCCAGAGTTCAAGTTTTATACGATTGCACAATGTCACCTGCTCCGGACCTCTTAACCTCTTAACCTCCTATCAAGCAAAACATGAGTCCAGCTCAGAGGTCTGTCCACATATTCGAGATTCACCATGCAACACATCCTTCATTTCCCTTCTTCCTCATGACTTATCAGTGCAAGAATTTTGGAAAGTTGTATACAGATAAGGCAAAAGAAGTTTGGAATTGTATGCACCCTTGAGAGGTGAATCCTAGCTTTCACAAATAGCTTCACAGAGCCCACTTTCTCTGCTAAGGATATCATTTTTTATTCATTTATGTCCCACCTTTCCCCTACTCTGAGAAGATAAGTGATTTCTTGAAGTGAGTGTATCATAATCGTTAAAGAGGGCAAACACTCATTGAATAAATAAGGTCCAGCTTTGAGAGTAGAAATTAAATGTTCTCTGTCCTTTTCAGGGACACGTGGCCATCAGGAATAATGAGCAACCCATTTGCACACCTCGCTGAGCCTTTGGATCCTGCACAACCAGGAAAGAAATTCTTCAATTTGAATAAATTGGAGGATTCAAGATATGGTAGGTACATGGCTCTATGATGTAAGTGCTCTGATAGTAATTGGAATATCATTTGCATAATAAGTAAGCTACTTAATAAATTAGGCTTTAGGAGAGTTGGAAGAGGGAGTAGCAGAGATGGCTGAATGGTCTTGGGTTAACCACACAAATACACACCTTTCTTACATTGCTCGTTTTCAAGTAGATAATGATGATTATATATATGTAACATTTACATAACATTTAGTATAGAGAGTGTTTGTACATATATATTGTTTAATCTGAGTAACAACCCTATCATGTTATGTTTAAAAACATAAGAAGTCCTGAGGAAGCTGAGGCCCAGAAAGAGTAAATGATATGATTAAATAACAACTATGTAGGTAGCAGAAGAGGATGAAAACACAAGCCTTTTTTATTCCAACTCCTATGCTTCTCTACCTTTGTAGTCTTGCCTTTTCTGGATAATACTGGTAAATAATTCTCATGTATCCGGATGGACCATTTCTTTTATAAACAAAATAACTTTTCTTAATGAATTACCATTGTTTTATTCTAGAAAACACAGTTACCAGTGACCACACTACATGGTGTTTAGGGGTTTATTTCCTTTGAAAGATGTATCTGACTATTCTTTAGTCTTATTATAATAATTGTAAAGGGGTTATCTTCTCATTTCTTAAACACTAGGTTTCATAAGAAATACTACTGTATGTGTATGTACTTGCTAACAGTAATACAGTAAATTATCTAGACTCATGTCTTTCATGATGACTTAAGGAAAATTCTGTTACTGGATTCCAAGGCTAGGCAACCATTTATTATGAAAGATTTAAGTGTAATATTTTCTTTTTGCCTAGGCTGTTGGTATTTTCTAGTACTGAATGTCTCCTAAATCCATTCAATAGTCTTATATTTTAAACTGTTGGAATCAGTTTAAATTTACTCTCTTTCCCTGCTGGAAGAATAGTGTGATGCCTTGTATCAAGTTTGTATGGAGTTTGGCTTTAGAGAGCTCTTATAATAAGATGTCTCATGGGTTTGGTTTTGTTATACTTTCTCCTTTACTCCTAGGACGACTACCATTTTCTATCAGAGTTCTCCTGGAGGCAGCCATTCGGAACTGTGATCAATTTTTGGTGAAGAAAAATGATGTTGAAAATATCCTAAATTGGAATGTCATGCAGCATAAGAACATAGAAGTGCCGTTTAAGCCTGCCCGCGTCATCCTGCAGGACTTCACGTGAGCCTCATGTCACTTCACTCTGTTTCTCTCTGCATCCCTTGTCAGCCTTTAAAGAAAGCTTCTTAAAAGCAAAAATAAAAAGCACAGTGACTGTATAATTTTTCACTCAACATTCAGAGACGGTTGAAAGCAAAAGAGGGCAGTCATCCCAGACGGGAAGAGATCATCTCAGGCAAATCAGGATGCATACTCACTCCACCTTTTCCAGTGGCAAAGATCTTTGTCCTTGGTCTTCAAGATCCTAGTTCTAAGTGTACTAGCAAAAGTTGAAAGAAACAGTATGGAGTGGAGCTATCTCGGAAACTTTTCGCCCCTATGTCCTATCACCCAAGGAGCCAGGTTTCAAACAGCTGTCCTTGGAACGTTGATATGTGTCACCTGAGGGGAGATACGTAGTTCACAAGGCGTGATGTGTTGCTGTTAAGCCTCTGTTCACATCCTGCTATTCCCAGGAATTGCTCCCTATCACAGCTTCATTTTGAGACATTACCGTTTCATTTTGAAATGATGTTATTTTATTCCTTCTGGAGAGCAAATTTCATTTTTTTTAGAGGAAAGATCACCCAAATTTTATTCTCTAATAAAAAGGAAGCATTCACTTAGTATAAATTTGATTCACAGCCTACTTTTCTGAATTATATCCATTCCTTTAAATTTGGTCTGAAGTTGAAGGGTGTGATCCGTATATCTTGTACAGGTCTTTGTCAGCCCACCATATGAAAAGGGAACAGTGATGGCAGAAAAAGTTCCAGAATTTTTAATTGCCAGCTTTCCCACAGCTTCTCTGTTTAGACCATATTGGCTGTGACCTTCAATGCAGGGATAAAATTGCATATAGAGATACCACTCAGTCGCGGCACTTATTACTGATGTGATTTCTGCTGAAGGGAATGTGTTTAGACACTTTCACTTTTCTAACACATCCATTGTTACCACCACTGATGAAACAGCCGATGAAACAGCCCCATTGCCAATATTATCAGCAGAGGCAAAAGCTGAAAAATCCCATGGCACTTGTTTAACCGATTTGTTTTCTGCTTAATCTCCCTTTTCTTAGGGGTGTGCCAGCTGTGGTTGACTTTGCTGCCATGCGTGATGCTGTGAAAAAGTTAGGAGGAAATCCAGAGAAAATAAACCCTGTCTGTCCCGCTGACCTTGTCATTGATCATTCCATCCAGGTTGATTTCAGCAGAAGGTGAGAGACTAGGATGAATAGTTGGGTTTTCTGCTTTGTGCAAAATCTCAGAGTGTAAGTCTTTTTTGTGTGTAAAAGGGAACCCTCCTGCACTGTTAGTGGGAATGTAAATTGATACAACCACTATAGAAAACAGTATAGAGTTTCCTTAAAAAACTAAAAATAGAACTATCATATGACCCAGCAATCCCACTACTGGGCATATACCCTGAGAAAACGATAATTCAGAAAGAGTCATGTACCACAATGTTCATTGCAGCACTATTTACAATAGCCAGGACATGGAACCAACCTCAATGTCCATTGACAGATGAATGGATAAAGAAGATGTGGCACGTATATACAATGGAATATTACTCAGCCATAAAAAGAAACAAAATTGAGTTATTTGCAGTGAGGTGGATGCACCTAGAGTCTGTCATACAGAGTGAAGTAAGTCAGAAAGAGAAAAACAAATACCGTATGCTAATGCATATATATGGAATCTAAAAAAAAAAAAAGAAAGGTACTGATGAACCTAGTTGCAGGGCAGGAATAAAGAGGTAAACATAGAAAATGGACTTGAGGACACGGGGTGGGAGGGTGAAGCTGGGCAAAGTGAGAGTAGCATCCGCATATATACACTACCAAATGTGAAATAGTTGGCTGGTGGGAAGCAGCAGCATAGCACAGGGAGATCTGCTTGGTGCTTTGCGATGACCTACAGGGGTGGGATAGGGAGGATGGGAGGGATGCTTGAGGGAGGGGATATGGGGACACATGTATGTATATGGCTGATTCACTTTGTTGTACAACAGAAACTAACACAGTATTGTGAAGCAATTATTCTCCAATAAAGATCTATTAAAAAATAAAAAAAATTAAAAAAAGAAGAAAAATCTTTAAAAAGTATATTCAGGAAAACTCAAACTTAATAAATATTTTCCCCTGAAGTTTTTTTTTTTTTTTCAGGGTGGGGGCAGGGGGGATTAAGTCTTTTTTTTTTTTTTTCTATTTACTTCTTGGGTGAGAACAGCCTGTGTTTAAGCTTGAAGTCTGGGTGAAAAACACATACAAATTCTGCCATGAGAGCTTGTCAATACAAGTATGTGTTTGACTTTAAAAGAGTTTGGCTTTTTTTTTTTTTTTTCCAACCACTGGAGTCTTATTCCTTTTTGATTCCAAGTAACTATTTCATATCTGGCCATCTCTGCCTCTCCACGTGGGTGTCCACAAACTCTATCCTTTTCCTTTTTTCCTTCTATTGTTCAGGATATCCACTTCTCTCTTGCTGCTAAAATCGTACCAACAACCTACCAATCCTACCAATAAAATCTCAGTAGCAGAAGACAATAAGAATTTATTTCTTACACATCTACAAGTTGGGTGGGAGCTCAGCTGAGCTCAGCTGAATGCAGTTGGGCAGCTGTGCCTCACCCAGCCTTGGCTGGGTTGACTGCTTACACTGCACTGCACATCGGTAGGGCAGCTGGGACAGCTCCATTCTATGTGTGCTTCTTTGGGAGCCCAGGCTAAAGGAGAAAGCAGCTATGTGGTGATCACAGAGGCTCAAGAAGGCAAGCGGGACCCTGCAGCATCTCTTGAGGCTTAGATGAGGACTGACATAGGATCACTTCTATTCACAATCACATTAATCAAAGCAAGTTGCACAATTTAGCCCAAAGTCAGGGGTGAAGGAGTACACTCCAGTAACTGCAAGGTTACACAACGAGGATTTGGATACAAGGAGGGCAACCAGGTACTACTAGAAGGCTGATATCTTAACCTAGAAGTATAACTAAATAAAATTATTTCCAACTTTAGATAGAACTTTAGTTAGAAAGAAATAACTGTTCTGCATACAATGCTGGGAAAATTATTTGGTAGAGAGAACAGTTCATATGATTTAAAGCATTAATATTTTAAAAATTAAATCATCAAAGATTTTGAAGAAAATTTAATTATATAGTGTCAAATGTCTTGATGAGAAAAACCTTTCTAAATTTAGAAGCAATGAATGAAACAAAGGGGAAAAAAAATCTATAGATTTAATGACTTCAAAGTTACCAGGAGATAACTTGAAAAATATTTTCAATAAAGAGTTAATATCCCTAATATATAAAGAGTATGTATAATCTATTAAAAAATAGTAAAACCCAGCAAATAAATGGGCAAAGGAAAGTGGACATTTCACAATAAAGGGAAATACAAATGGTAAACAATATATAAAGCCTTTTCAACTTTACAAGTAATAAAAAGGAAAATTAAATCCTTGAGATACTATTTTCTCTTAACATAGTTTAGAAAATAAATGTTATTAATTATAAATGTGTCACGAGGGAGACACTTTTATACACTGCTGATAGCACTACAAATTAGAAATGATGAAAGCAATGTGCCATATCCTTTGTCCTGGAATTTCCACTTCTAAACATACACTTTATAGATATCTGAAATTCAGCAAAAGCTTAATGACTAAATAGTGCTTATTAAAGTATTATTTATAATAGTGAAAACTTAAAAGCATTCTAGGTGTCCAACAAAGGAGAGTGATTTATTAAATTATGGTACATCCTTAAAGTAAATTATTAAGTAACCTTTACGGTTATATTTTAATCCTTAATAACATTTGGAACATGCTCATGTCTTGGCTCAATGAGCTAGATAAAAATTGCATGTATAGAGTGATCTCAGCTCGATGAAACTCTAGGCAAAGATTACAAAATTGGAAAGAGAAGTGCCAAACTGCTAAGCGATTGTAACTATTCTTTATTTTTACAATAAAAAGCTATTGTTTTTATAATAGAAAGTCATTTAAGAATATGAAACCAACCACTCAAAGGAAAAAAAAAGCAAAAACGTTTATTTGCTTCCTTGGGGATTTAAGTGGGTTCCATACAGCCTCAAGAGAAATGTAGAAACTGGTCATTCTCAAATTAGTATTGCCAATATCCAAACCAGAGAAATTCAGGAATAGAGAGAAAACTGCTTTGTCCCCTGAATTGATGGTTCTTGGAACAAACAGACTGGATACTTGCTAGCTCTTTCCTTTTCTTTGGACTCAACCCATCCTTCGGCAGCATGACTTTTTTTTTTTTTTTTTCCTTAAATCACATGAGCTCAATTTAATGTTTTGATTTCAAAGGGAAGAGTTAAATTTACACAAACTATTATCCTATTGGAGAGTATGTTTCCTAAAGTCCCACTTCAGAAATTATTGAAAGGAGCCTCACAAAATCATGGGCAACTTTTTCTTGAAGACTCATTGGTGTTGATGGATTTACCTTCATTTCCCTGGCCTGGAAGGTGAAAGTACTGGTGGAGACAGAATTGTAATTGTTTTAATGTCTAAAGTTATTTGACTCAAAACTCAAAAGAGCTCCTGACAATTAAGCAGGTAAAGAATCTGAGTCAGCACCAAGTTCATTGTGACTTGGTTTCCTCCTTAAACCTTGACATCCATCAACTCTGGTTTCAATTTTTTATGGACCTTTTTCATTTATACTGTAATACTAAAGACATTATGATGAAAATAGCAAAGTCTAAGGGTGAACTTTGATCCAAAATGATATCCAAATCTAGCAAACACTTCTTTTTTTTAATTAAAGAGAAACACTTCTATGAGAAGTATTTTCTTTTTTTAATAAATTTATTTATTTTTGGCTGTATTGGGTCTTCGTTGCTGTGCACAGCTTTCTCTAGTTGCGGTGAGCGGGGGCTACTCCTCGTTGCGGTGTGCAGGCTTCTCATTGCGGTGGCTTCTCTTGTTGCGAACCCGTATCCCCTTCGTGGGCAGGTGGATTCTTAACCACTGCACCACCAGAGAAGCCCGAGAAGTATTTTCATTGCTAGTGTTTTGTTTTTATTTCTTGAGTTTGGTTTTGCAATTTGACCTCCCAGTCTCTTTCCTCATTTTTGTAAGGAATTAAGTGTGATATCTCAGCTTTTGTGGAACTGTGTGCTGTGGGCTTATTTCCAGCTATTTCCAGAATGAAGTAAGGAGTGGTGGGATGGTGAATTTTCTCAGTTAAGTATTTCTAAGCTCTTTCCCTGCTGTGAATAATAGTAATTGGCTTCACACGATCTTTAGGAATCGAGGATCTAACTAATGCATTATTGTAATGTTTTACAAAGTTATCTCAGAAATAACCTTTTTTAAAATCCCAACAAGAATATCATAGCAATTTCTGACCAGATTTCATGAGTGTCAAAACTATCTTCTCTATAAATACTGTCTGTGAATTTCTAGAGTACCATTAAATGTAATACTCAGAAACTTTGAACTACATCCAAATCTGATTTCAACTTACGTAAATAAGGAGAAATTTCCTCTTTAGTGTGTGAGGCCATTCACATTCAGAGATCTGATTGAAAGCTCACCAGATTGGGTAAATCTAGGAAAGTTCTGAGTGGTGGAAAAATCTGAATTCTAGGTCTGTTTATTCATTCGAATAACTAGAACTAAGTTAACGAGCCAAGGTTAGCATGAAAGATTTTTTGTTTTAGTGAGTAAATAGGGTTGTTTTTTAAATTTTATTTTTAATTTATTTTTAATTTTAACTTTTTTTTTACCTAGAATTTAACATATCTTAAAGCAGCCTAAGCATTTCTGGCTTCTGCTTGTCCTGTGACTATGTCATGTATATCGAACTGATGGTCCCAGCATTCTCTGGGGTAAATGGTCCTCTTCCAACCTTGCTTCTGTTGTGAGAAACTCTGAAATCCTTCTGGAGACAAGAGGACAAGGCATAATGACTGGGAGTCCACATGGGCTCAGAGCTCAGCAGAAGAGATGGGGCAGGGCCATACATGATTAAGAATAACGTTCCAAGATGCCTTCCCTTTTTTTTTGTAAAATTAAATCCATGTAACAGACCTACTGTATGTCAGTATTTATTCAAGAAGCAGGTTAGTCTAGAAAAGTAGAGAGATTAGGGAAAGCACAGCTTGAATGCAGTTAGTAAGTGTAGGAACCAAATCACTAACTTGGAGAGTCAGGGGGGCTCTTCCAGGAGTGTCACTTAATCTGGGTCCCCAGGCATGTTTACCAAAGAGCAAAGAGCTGGAAAGACATTCTACACAGAGAGAACAGAGCATGCAAAGGCATGAGGGAAGTGGGGTGTGAGAAAGTATGAGGGCCACAGTGCAGCTGAAACTAAAAGTTTGGACTGGAGGATGAGAGAGGACTCATGAAGGAAGTCTGACGTCAGACTGAAGGACCTTGTTTTTTGTTTTTTTTTTTTGCGGTACGCGGGCCTCTCACTGCTGTGGCTTCTCCCGTTGCGGAGCACAGGCTCCGGACGCGCAGGCCCAGCGGCCATGGCTCACGGGCCCAGCCGCTCCGCGTCATGTGGGGTCTTCCCGGACCGGGGCATGAACCCGTGCATCGGCAGGCGGACTCTCAACCACTGCGCCACCAGGGAAGCCCGAGATCAGCAAACTTTTACTGTAAAGGGCCAACAGTAAATACTTTAGGTTTTGTTGGCCACATACTGTCTCCGTTTATTTGTTTTCCAACCTTTAAAAATATAAAAATTATTCGTTGCTTGACAGCCAAACATATACCGTATTGGGCCAGATTTGACTCATGAACCATAGTTTGTGGACCAACCCCTGCTGTAAGATACTCTCAGAAATTGATTCCATCAAAGCAACTGACACTTATCTGGAAGAATATTCACATCAAGAGAAAAAGAAAAAAATCCGCATGGTAACTGAATGTGTATTTGTAGAGTAAATAAGTGCCTCCAGTCTTTTTCTTCTCAAGCAGTGCCTGCCTACCCATGTTCATCTGGCAGACTCCCCCTCGCCCTCCAGACTACATCGATGTCATCGCCTCCTGGAAGGCATCCCTGGCTCCCTGGTCTGAGTTCATGGCCCTTTCTGGGTGCTCCCATGGCACCCTGTACTTCCCGTATCATGACATTAATAATCACACTCTCATGGTTGCCTGGTTGCTGCTCTGTGTCTCTCGCTAGGCTCTGAGCTCCAGCTGGGCAGCACACATGCCCCTTCTGCACATTTGTATGCCCAGCATGTGGCACCAGGTAGGCTCTGTAGATCATTAACAAGTGACAGAAGAAAGTGGGTATAGTGGTTAAGGTAGAGGCTCCAGGACCAGTCAGACCTGGGTTCAGGTGACCACTCTGTAATGTACAAGCATCTGACCTTGGAGAAGTTAACTAATCTTTCTGTGCCTCCGCTTCCTCTTCCATCCATTGGGGTAATGGTAGTACCTACGTGAGGGGTTGTTATGATGATTGAATGAGTTCATGTGTGTAAAGCACTTAGAGCCTACGATGCACCGTGCAGTCTTGCACTTTGGCTCCTGCTGTTATTATTATTATGGTAGTTGTTGCTATTACCACCACCACCATTGCTGCTACAGTTTCTGCAACTACTACTACAGGGAGGCAGCATAGGGACTTAGAGCATCATTCTTGAGTCAGACTGCCTGGGTGTCAATACCAATTCCATCATTTACTAGCTGTGAGGTCCTGAACAAGTTTCTTACCCTCTCTGTGTCTGTTTCCTCTTTTGAAAAATGTGGATATTAGTTGCTCCTAGCTCAAAGGGCTATTTTGAAGACTAAATTAGAAAATAAATGTAAAGCACTTTGGGGCCTAGTTCCTAGTAATGTCAATAAGTGTTAACTATCAATTAGTGAAGTCTGACTTGGGTCTTAGCTATTAATTTCACTATCATATCCTATGTTCACTCAATCCATGACAGTTTGTAAGAACTTCCTGTGTGCTAACCATGCCGAGTTGTCACTATGACTTACTCTACCTCAAAACAATGTAGTTTGATTATAAAAATTCTGGAAAAGCTTCCTGATGCCCTGAATTGTCCATGTCAGTCCTGATGAACTGAATGACTTGGAGCAAACCTCGGTATATAATCTGCGCTTTACTCACGTTCTTGAGTGGCACCATCCTCCTCATAAACCTCCTTTTGCAAGATAGGAGATTGTGATTCTATAAATTCCTGTGCCTCCTGGCATCACTGGTTCCCTACCTCCCAACATAAAACAGATGAAAATGCCAGCCCAGATATGGCTCAGCTCAGAGAGGTGTTGTAACAAGGTCATAGGTAAGAAAGGAGTACAGAAAGAAAGCTTCTTTAAATATCTAAGCTGCTACTGTCATCATAAATGTCTTGAGTCTGTTCCTAAGAGTCAGACTTTATGATTAGAATAGTTTTAACTTAAATCCACTTAATGTTTTCTACCCACCATGTTTAAAGGCATTATAAAAATCACCTGAACCAAAAAATAATTATTCTTTTTACTTTCTTTAATTACCTCTTTCCCATGTTAACGAATGCACACCACCACCCAGCAAGCCTGCACATGAAACTGCCATTTTCTTTATTATCACCTATAAATTTGACCAGTAACATTTTACGCCTTAAAATTTATACATTTAGTCTTTCTCTTTGACAGGGCAGACAGTTTACAGAAGAATCAAGACTTGGAATTTGAAAGAAATAGAGAACGATTTGAATTTTTAAAGGTATGGGCAGAGTTTGGCTCCATTGGTTGATTCTTTATGTGTGTGGGGTATGAGGAAGAGGTGCCAAGGAGGTGAGATGCATAAAGGTGTGTCTGGTATTCATAGTGTTCTCCCCATTTTTCAATCCTAGTGGGGCTCTCTGGCCTTTCGCAACATGCGGATTATTCCTCCTGGCTCAGGAATCATCCACCAGGTGAATCTGGAGTATTTGGCAAGAGTGGTATTTGATCAGGATGGATATTATTACCCAGACAGTCTTGTGGGCACGGATTCGCACACTACCATGATTGATGGTTTGGGCGTTCTCGGTTGGGGTGAGTGTTCTTCTGGGCTCCTATTCCACTTATGCCGTTCTATGTAAATACCTTGATTTACTTTGATACCCTTACATCCCAGCAGCATGAATTTGAGTGACCACAAATATCAGAGAGGTTTTTTTGGTCTGTTTTCCAGTAATTTCCAGTACCCAGAAAAGTGTCTGATGCCTTTTAGGCACTCAGTATAATGTTTGGAAGAATGAATTGGAATCAGCAGCTGGAATTAGAATAGGCGAAAATCAGCTGGGGTGTTTGTTAAAAACAGCGACTCCTGAAGCCCATTCTTCTTTTTAGTGTGGAATCAAGGGGATTTTGACACAGGTGTTTGGGGGACCACACTTTGAGAAACACTTGTTAAAAATTCTATAGAGGGAAATAGAGAAAAGATAACTGTCCTTTATGGAAATATAACTCTACACTAGTAAAACACTATAAGTGGGTTGACTACTTGTTAATGACAGTGAACTATGCCTGAGGGATATCGTGAGGACTAAGGAAAGCATTACTCTGTCACGCCTTTCCACACAGGTGTGGGTGGTATCGAAGCAGAAGCTGTCATGCTGGGCCAGCCAATCAGCATGGTGCTTCCCCAGGTGATTGGCTACAGGCTGATGGGAAATCCCCACCCCCTGGTAACATCCACTGACATCGTGCTCACCATCACCAAGGTAACAATGTGCTGCCTCTTCTGTGGTCTGAGTCGCAGTGACAAATAGGAGGAAAGTCCATGATGGAGTCTCTCTTGGTTTCCATGTGCTCTAGAAGTGCTAGGAAACAGTACGTTTATGACTTTAAAAGAGATGACATAAGGAGAGAACTCTGCAGTTAGGTTCCAGATCATTATGTTCATTTTACTCTTCTGTTGCTGCATGGATCTTTTTCTTTAAAAAAATTTTTTGAAATTGTGAAACAGTTTAAATACACAGAAGTTAAAATGACATTTATATGCCCACCATGTAGACTTAACAGATGGTAACATTTTGCTGTATTTGCTTCAGAGCTCTCTCTGTATGTATATTTTTTAAGAAGTGAAATGTAATATTTATGGCTAAAGCCACCCTCTTCATTTCTAGAGAGAATCACTGTCTTGAGGTTATAAGAAATCATTTCCATGCATATGTTTATACTTCTACATTTTTTCCACATGGTTCTTCTTTATATGAAAATAACTATGAATAATTTTTGACTATTTAAAATTCCATTCTCTGTATTATAAGTTACATTATTGTAACAGATGTTTCTCCAAGCTGGAAAATATTAGTTTTGTTTTGTTTTGTTTTTCATTTGCCCTTGTCAGAAATAATCCTTTTTGGTGATTTGCTTGCTTTGCAAAAAGAAGGCAGTTTCATTTTGAAAGACTATGAGAAAAGTAATTTTTTTTTTATTATCACACAAGTTTTTCTGGTTGTATAGTTTGAAGGCTTGGGTTATGTGGGATGGATGCTATACTTTTGATTTAATAGTCATGGACATCGGAATCAGATTTATTTGAACACTATAGCTCATCAGAGATGTCCGCATCGTTCAAGTGTGGAATAATATAGGCTCTGCCCACAAAATTTGGCAGAATTCCATGTAACCAAAAGGGCCTGTCCGTGTGGTTGTCCACACTTCATACAGCTGATTTCATGCAGAGCCAAGCCAGTCATGAGTCTCCAGCCCTGGCTGATGGCTTGTATGGAAAAGGTGTGAGAGTCAGACTGCCTGGATCTTTTGGTTACATTTGACTTACACCTGTGTTCAGGATATTTGTTCATTATACCCTTGAAAACAAGGCATTTGCTTATTCAACAAGTGCAAATCATAATTTATTCACGTTGAAAGAATTTATTTAATTTTTAGAAAGAAGTTTTCTCATTTGGCAAAACTTTTATTATTTGTGTTTTTATATTTTTCTTTCTTTTTAAAGAAATGTTTCAACATAATTTTAGATTTACAGGGGACTTGATGTAAAGGTAATACAGAGTTCCTGTTACCTTTCTCCCAGCTTCCCCAGATGTTAACATCTTACATAACCATGGTATATTTATCAGAAACAGAAGTAGTTAACATTGGTATGACATTTTTAACTAAACTAGAAACTTCACCAGTTTTTTCAGTAATCCCTTTTCTGTTCGAGGATCTACTCCAAGATACCATGTTGTATTTAGTTGGCCTTACTTTTTAAGTTTTATTTTTAAAAGTAATCAAACATATGTTGGGCTAATTCATTCTTTGTGTTTACTCACAAGGCTACTTTATGAGAATTGCAAGGGGATAGTTCTGCATTTTAAATACAGGTTATCAAGTCTCAAACTCTGCTATTGTTCTGTTGCTCAGCACCTCCGCCAGGTTGGGGTAGTGGGCAAATTTGTCGAGTTCTTCGGGCCAGGGGTAGCCCAGTTGTCCATTGCCGACCGAGCTACAATTGCCAACATGTGTCCAGAGTATGGAGCCACTGCTGCCTTTTTCCCGGTTGATGAAGTCAGTATCAAGTACCTCGTGCAGACAGGTAAGTGCAGAACCCTGAAAACAGAAGGCCGTTTCTAAAGTTCATAGAACGCTGAAAATTGGAGCACTACCTTCTGCCTCTGTCCCTCGATTAAATAGTTGAGGCACTCAACCTAAAGAAGAGAAGAGAAGGGATGGTGGGGAGGGGAAAGCTGCAAAATACATCCAGAGATGAGATTAGTTTCTATGGCTCTAGAGGTGGCCACCGAACCTCTTACTGATCTGGTACCGAATTTGTAACATCTACTGATTTGAAACCAATGGTTTCAGAGAAGTTGAACACTTTCTTAAACTGAAACCTAAAAGAAATTTCTCCTGCATGTCTTCGTCGAGAGGATGACAGGGCATGTAATGAACACTGGGGCCCAACAACAGGTCATGATAAATGTTAACGAAGATCAGACAGTCATCTGTTATAAGGTCCATGCTGAAAGCTGATGACCTTTACAATTCAGTTAAAATGAAGAGGTGAAAAAAAAAGAATGCTGATCTGTTGTGGATCCAAGAATCAAGCTCTCGAACAGGCTTATTTGTCAGAAAACTGGGAGAACTCCGTGTCCATTGGGCAAACCGTGCGTATTATCTCCTGCAACCAGGGTCTTGATCAGAATGAAACAGCAGAGCTTTCAGGGTCATATTCCTGGTGATATAGCATCACGAGTTAGGACTTTGAACTCAAACCTAAACTCAGCTTCGGGTCCTGGTTCTGCCATTTACGGCCCGTGTTCCATGGGAAAGTTAATCTTCTTGAGCCACTATTTCCCCATCCATAAATGAGGATAATAACAGTGCTTTTCTCATAAGGTCATGATAAAGGATTAGAGAATGAAATAATGCATTTAAAATGTTTAGCACACAGTGCTGGGCACACAGCTGGTGATCTGTGGTGGGAGACTGCGGGGATTACCATAACTAGAATCATGTGGAATGCTGAGGGTCTGTGGCCAGTTGAAGGCAGATGCGTCGGAGGTATGCTTTGACAATTCGCTGAGGCTTAGGATCCTCTTAATTAAGACCCATAACCAAAGAGAGACGAGTGCTTATAAGTGAGAATCTTCTACAGAAAATGGTCACTTCGATAGAACAGCAGATCAGTTAATGGCCCCCAGTAAACAGCAGCATCGGCTAGAGAGTCAGACTGTTAGCCTGAAAGCTGCAATATCAGCAGAGCTCTTGGTGTGTGTTTAAGTGAAATGCCCATTCCTTGTATAGCTTCTGGTAGAGGCATTAGTTTAATCAGGAAATATTAACATCTGTTACTTGTTACTTCTTAAAATGCCCATTAGGTCGTGATGAAGAAAAAGTAAAGCATATTAAAAAGTATCTTCAGGCTGTAGGAATGTTTCGGGATTTCAGTGACCCCGCTCAAGACCCAGACTTTGCCCAGGTATGAGAGTGCCTTTCATAAGGTCATGATAAAGGATTAGAGAATGAAATAATGCATTTAAAATGTTTAGCACACAGTGCTGGGCAAGTGCCCCTCAGGCATGTTTGGTTTGGCCATTGTGCTGCAGGCCCACTCAGTAGTTTAGAAAAGTCTAGTTACTGACATTTATAAATCAAGAATGTTCGTATAGAAATCCAGATTGCCAGCCTCGCTTGAAAACTTGGCTCTGTCCACACTGGGCTGGCATATTCCAGCATGCAGCCCGCGGCTGGAGCCAAGTGGCTGCCGCTCCCTTAGCCGGGCAAACGTTGCCCAGGGTGCCAAGCCCCCGTGCTGCCAGCTTCACTTGTTCAGGCCCCCTTCCTGAACCGTGTGGTTATTTTGGTTGCGATTCACTCCCCCTCTCAAACATATACTTTCCATGGTACCTCCCTGCTTTCTGAATCAAGTGTACCTTCTTCACCTGGTCCTGCACGGTGTCCAGCAATGATTCTCAAACTGGACACGTGCTAGAGACACCTGGGAGATTGTCGAATTCCTGGCGCCTCCCCCAGTCCCTTCTGATTCGGTAGCTCAGCGGTGGGACTCGGGAGCCTATTTTTAACAAGAAAGAGCCCCAGGTAATTCTACTGCAGATGATCTAGAGCATGCCCCAGCATCCCGTGCTAGGCTTTCTTTAGTTTCAGTTCCGGAATTCCTAGAGACGTCAGTTGGCCTTCCCTCTCCCCCACCAAATGGCAGCTCCTGCAAAAACCACGTGGGACTAGGGGAAAGAGGCGATTCCTAGTAAAAAGGTGCTCGGCAGACCACCGCACCCTTCCTTCTCATTCTCTCACGCCTGTTGCCGTTGCCCGGCTCATGCCATTGTCTCTGCACTCGTAACTCCAGGAAGGCAGGGGTTGCTTCTCACTCAGCTGCCTCTCCCCAGAACTGCCTGGCACTGGACTTCAGACACAGTGGGTGTGCCCATCATCTGTGTCTTTTAAGTTTTTAACTAGCTTTCAAGCAGTTATATTTGTACAGTTAAAAATGCAAATAATACCAAAGGATATACAATGAAGCTGAGTCTTTCTCCCAATCCTGACTTCGAGGCCGCTGTCCCTCTTAAAGGAACCAGTCTCTTGTGTCTCAACGAAGACATGGGCCTGTCTATGGAGACAAGGCCCACTTGTCACTTTTTATCCCCACAAACAGTCGTTTTCTGTACAAACGGTCCTCGACTCACAATGGTTTGACTTACAATTTTTTGACCACTTTGGTGCAAAAGCGATAGGCATTCAGCAGAAACACACTTTGAATTTTGATCTTTTCCCGGGCTGGTGATATGCGGTGCAATACTCTCTTGTGACGAGTCCCAGTCAGCCACACGATCAGGAGGATGAACAACCAACACCCTTACAACCATTCTGTACCCAGACAACTACCCTGTTTTTCATTTTCAGTACAGTATTCAATAAATTACATGAGATATTCAGCACTTCGTTATAAAATAGGCTCTTTGTTAGATGATCTTGCCCAAATGTAAGCTAACGTAAGTGTTCTGGGAATATTTGAGGTAGGCTAGGCTAAGCTGTGATGTTCAGTAGCTTAGTATATTAAATGCATTTCAACTTACGATATTTTCAGTTTACAACAGGTTTATCAGGGTGTTACCCAATCAAAAGTTGAGTAAGATATTGTACTTTGTTTTCATTTTATAGTAATATGTTGATCATTCCATATCAGTCATCCCCAAAATAGGTTTTATGAATATTTATTCATAAAAACCTTGGATTAGATAGGGGAATGTTACTATTATTATCTTAAAATTAAGACTATTGGAGAATGGATCGATTAAAAGACTTTTGCCCAAGGGGTAGGACTAGAAAGCAAGTCTTCCGACTTCCACCCCAGAGTGTTTTGCTCTAAGTTATATAGTTATTTGAAATCGCTGTTTATCTGTGTGGTGGAGGCCAGGAACAGTGTCCTTTCTTGTTCACCACTTATAATTTATAAAAAGATAAGGAGAGGGCTTCCCTGGTGGCGCAGTGGTTGAGAGTCCGCCTGCCAATGCAGGGGGCACGGGTTCATGCCCCGGTCCGGGAAGATCCCACATGCTGCAGAGCGGCTGGGCCCGTGAGCCATGGCCGCTGAGCCTGCGCTTCCAGAGCCTGTGCTCCGCAACAGGAGAGGCCACAACAGTGAGAGGCCCGCGTACCGCAAAAAAAAAAAAAGATAAGGAGAAATTCTGCCCAGAGCTGGGGTAGAGGGTCTTCTCCAAACATATCTGGGGAGTTTGGGCCTTTATGCCACCACAGTGTACCTTAAAGATTGCCTGATGTGAACTCACTCTTGCTACCAACTCAAAAGTGAGTTGGGAAGACTTCCAACTAACAGGTTTATCTAAAACGCTGCAGACACAGTTACAACAGAAAACAGCTGCTTTCAAGTCCGCTCTTCCAGAGTTCAAGTTTTATACGATTGCACAATGTCACCTGCTCCGGACCTCTTAACCTCTTAACCTCCTATCAAGCAAAACATGAGTCCAGCTCAGAGGTCTGTCCACATATTCGAGATTCACCATGCAACACATCCTTCATTTCCCTTCTTCCTCATGACTTATCAGTGCAAGAATTTTGGAAAGTTGTATACAGATAAGGCAAAAGAAGTTTGGAATTGTATGCACCCTTGAGAGGTGAATCCTAGCTTTCACAAATAGCTTCACAGAGCCCACTTTCTCTGCTAAGGATATCATTTTTTATTCATTTATGTCCCACCTTTCCCCTACTCTGAGAAGATAAGTGATTTCTTGAAGTGAGTGTATCATAATCGTTAAAGAGGGCAAACACTCATTGAATAAATAAGGTCCAGCTTTGAGAGTAGAAATTAAATGTTCTCTGTCCTTTTCAGGGACACGTGGCCATCAGGAATAATGAGCAACCCATTTGCACACCTCGCTGAGCCTTTGGATCCTGCACAACCAGGAAAGAAATTCTTCAATTTGAATAAATTGGAGGATTCAAGATATGGTAGGTACATGGCTCTATGATGTAAGTGCTCTGATAGTAATTGGAATATCATTTGCATAATAAGTAAGCTACTTAATAAATTAGGCTTTAGGAGAGTTGGAAGAGGGAGTAGCAGAGATGGCTGAATGGTCTTGGGTTAACCACACAAATACACACCTTTCTTACATTGCTCGTTTTCAAGTAGATAATGATGATTATATATATGTAACATTTACATAACATTTAGTATAGAGAGTGTTTGTACATATATATTGTTTAATCTGAGTAACAACCCTATCATGTTATGTTTAAAAACATAAGAAGTCCTGAGGAAGCTGAGGCCCAGAAAGAGTAAATGATATGATTAAATAACAACTATGTAGGTAGCAGAAGAGGATGAAAACACAAGCCTTTTTTATTCCAACTCCTATGCTTCTCTACCTTTGTAGTCTTGCCTTTTCTGGATAATACTGGTAAATAATTCTCATGTATCCGGATGGACCATTTCTTTTATAAACAAAATAACTTTTCTTAATGAATTACCATTGTTTTATTCTAGAAAACACAGTTACCAGTGACCACACTACATGGTGTTTAGGGGTTTATTTCCTTTGAAAGATGTATCTGACTATTCTTTAGTCTTATTATAATAATTGTAAAGGGGTTATCTTCTCATTTCTTAAACACTAGGTTTCATAAGAAATACTACTGTATGTGTATGTACTTGCTAACAGTAATACAGTAAATTATCTAGACTCATGTCTTTCATGATGACTTAAGGAAAATTCTGTTACTGGATTCCAAGGCTAGGCAACCATTTATTATGAAAGATTTAAGTGTAATATTTTCTTTTTGCCTAGGCTGTTGGTATTTTCTAGTACTGAATGTCTCCTAAATCCATTCAATAGTCTTATATTTTAAACTGTTGGAATCAGTTTAAATTTACTCTCTTTCCCTGCTGGAAGAATAGTGTGATGCCTTGTATCAAGTTTGTATGGAGTTTGGCTTTAGAGAGCTCTTATAATAAGATGTCTCATGGGTTTGGTTTTGTTATACTTTCTCCTTTACTCCTAGGACGACTACCATTTTCTATCAGAGTTCTCCTGGAGGCAGCCATTCGGAACTGTGATCAATTTTTGGTGAAGAAAAATGATGTTGAAAATATCCTAAATTGGAATGTCATGCAGCATAAGAACATAGAAGTGCCGTTTAAGCCTGCCCGCGTCATCCTGCAGGACTTCACGTGAGCCTCATGTCACTTCACTCTGTTTCTCTCTGCATCCCTTGTCAGCCTTTAAAGAAAGCTTCTTAAAAGCAAAAATAAAAAGCACAGTGACTGTATAATTTTTCACTCAACATTCAGAGACGGTTGAAAGCAAAAGAGGGCAGTCATCCCAGACGGGAAGAGATCATCTCAGGCAAATCAGGATGCATACTCACTCCACCTTTTCCAGTGGCAAAGATCTTTGTCCTTGGTCTTCAAGATCCTAGTTCTAAGTGTACTAGCAAAAGTTGAAAGAAACAGTATGGAGTGGAGCTATCTCGGAAACTTTTCGCCCCTATGTCCTATCACCCAAGGAGCCAGGTTTCAAACAGCTGTCCTTGGAACGTTGATATGTGTCACCTGAGGGGAGATACGTAGTTCACAAGGCGTGATGTGTTGCTGTTAAGCCTCTGTTCACATCCTGCTATTCCCAGGAATTGCTCCCTATCACAGCTTCATTTTGAGACATTACCGTTTCATTTTGAAATGATGTTATTTTATTCCTTCTGGAGAGCAAATTTCATTTTTTTTAGAGGAAAGATCACCCAAATTTTATTCTCTAATAAAAAGGAAGCATTCACTTAGTATAAATTTGATTCACAGCCTACTTTTCTGAATTATATCCATTCCTTTAAATTTGGTCTGAAGTTGAAGGGTGTGATCCGTATATCTTGTACAGGTCTTTGTCAGCCCACCATATGAAAAGGGAACAGTGATGGCAGAAAAAGTTCCAGAATTTTTAATTGCCAGCTTTCCCACAGCTTCTCTGTTTAGACCATATTGGCTGTGACCTTC